CCCTATATGCAAACTTTAAACACGTGTAAGCAACTCGTGGAGAGCAAAAGGCAATTCGATATGTTAATTTAAACTTGCGTTTGCCAATCTCATTTGCAACGCATGTATTACTTAAAAACTCTTATTAAAAAGTATAATATTTGGTTATAAATAACCTTTTCTTAGATTTTGCTTATTTTCTTCATTACACATTATTAAAAGTAAAGTATATTAGACATTTTAGAGAAATTAATCATAAAGGCAAAAACGCCAATTATTTTCCTTGAAAATAAATATCGATGAAGACCACTACTTGTACCATTCGAAAGATGTCACTTTTCGAAACTATGATTACACGGTTTATCTTTCGAACGTGAATTCTATAAATAAAATATCTACATCAAACCCCTTGGTTATTAACTTATTAGTCATTCATTAATGAAAAATTTCGGATTTGGATAGCAGACATTGCTACTCTATTGTACATATGTGCATACACACGTGTAGACATATTATGTCGCACATAAAACTAAATAATGTCGTAACCCAAAATTGTGGAAAATTTTTAAAAAGTGTGAATGGATTTTATTGCGAATAATGTATATTTATATGTACATAATATTTAGTTGTCCATTTATAAACGAAAATATATATTTATTCGTTTCGTTCAGTAATTTTTTTAAATTTTCAAATTGTGTCTTCTCAATTCCACGTTTTTAAGTTACGACGCACAGTGAATAATACATGAATCGAAAGATTAAATTTTGGTACGCTTGTTTTACAGGAGTGACAAATAAAGTGCAAAATACTTTGGTATGTGAAACGGTTCATGATGTAAACAAATTTATATTATAATAGCGTTTTTTTACCTTCCGTTACTTTTTTGAATAGTTACATTTTTGTTTACATTAGGGGTTTCCACATTTTTCTTTTCTGGCTAAACTTGCATAGTACCCTATGGTACTATGTAAGTACTAGATACTTTCACGTGCTGTTGCAACCCTATATAATTTTGTTGAAGATATTAAAGATATAAACTCTCAATCCATTTGTCGCATATGAAAAAACAATAAGTAGCAGTAGAGCTCCTTGTGAAAGAGTTCGTCCATGGAAGTACTATCACCTTACTTATTTCTGCATTCAAGCAGTAATGTGAACATTACTGCGTTCCGGTTTTGAAAGGTAAGGCTGCTGGTGAAATTTTAGGCACATGGGACTTGTCACCTTATGTCTCAGGGTGACACGCTCGGTAGCAGTGCCTCTCAGATCTTTGCGATTTAAAGTTCTGCGTGGCACTATAACTGCTATGGACAGGTGTGTCGCTTACCACCAGGCGCACGACTTGTTCGTTCCGTCTATTACTATCACAAAAAAATATCAATAACTAGCAATATTTTCAATTGCGTAAATGACATTTTGTTTCCTGATCCAATTCGGAAAGCATGGTAAATTTTTTATTTGCTGATCAACAAGAAAGAAGTAAAAGACTTCGTTTCGACTTCAAAGTCTTCGTCTATTCTATTTCCTATTAACGTCGATGGACGGAACGCCAATACAATTTTTTTTTACGGTGTTTTAGTTACTTTTTTACGGGAGAGATTTGTTTTGGAAAATAGAATTTTTCTTTGCCAATAAAACTCGTGTGTTTTTGCTAATGTCGTTTTATGCTTTATTGCACTACCCTGTATAATCTTTGAAGTATTTGAAGTAGGCTAAAAGAACAAAATCTCAATATGTTTATCCAATATGAAAATTTAGATAACAGTTGCCCATGTATCGGTGTCGCGTTAAATTTCAATAACTAACGTAGAAACGGACGTCAGTTCATGTTTTATGTATCTGGAGCTTGTCTCACCTTGGATTTATGAATAAAATGAAATAAATCAATGCCTCAGAGATACGTTAAATAATCTGGTTAGTGGAAATTTCTTGCCTAACGTAATTTTTTAGCACCTCTATAATTTTTCAGGTTAATAAAAATCTAATATTTTGTCCATTACTCAAATTTGAAATCTTCATGTTGTGTCCATATTTTAGTTATTACTACATTAAAATAACGTGGGTCGTTAAGTAGCAAGTGACTAGTTGACACGAGTTTCAGAATGAGATAGCTCACGCTAGTCGATTGCCGGGTTAAGTGTTCCATAATGCTCTTCATGCCTGTAGGCTTAAGTAAAACTTGTCCAACTTGAGAACTTCAGGACATGTTTCCTTATCGCCAAACTAAGCGATTATAACCTTTGTTGCCGTAAGTATGTAACCCTCATTATTAACGCGACCATTATTTTCTTCCCCTCAGAGTGGGATGCTTGTAAATTATTGTTTTATTGTTTTAAAAATAAAACACATGTTTAATACAGTTACGAAATGTTTAATAATTAAAAAATAAAATAAAAATGTATTTATTAATGATAGTAGGTATTGATTTCAAGGGCTCAGGATTTAAAAAGTTTGTGGAGCAGGATTTAAAAAGATTGTGATGCAGGATTTCAAAAGATTGTAGTGCAGGATTCCAAAAGATTGTAGTGCAGGAATCAAAAAGGTTGTGATGCAGGATTGTGTCAGAAATCACACCGTATCCTTATCCTATATTGTTAAGTATAATCCAACTTGAATTCTCTCTTTAAATCCTACAGAAAACTAAATCCCGATTTTTTTTTAATATTTCGTCACAGGGATAAGTTGGTCACATTACGGTATATTCCTATCTGTATGGGATGCATATAAAGCGAAAACAAACACGGTAGCTCCCAGTCCGCTTTCGGTATTCGTGTTTTCGGTCCACTTATTTGTGTTCTAATAATTTCGATGATATGGGAGTGTTTTTCTTAACAAAGTATGTATTTATCGAGATCTTAGGTTTTCATGATTGCTAAAGGTTGGAAGTGAAACTATTATTTCGGAACTAATTTGCTAAAAACAAATATACGCGATTAAGATTTAAAAAGAAAATAGATTCATTTCCATCACATGCATGCATGCATTTTTAAAAAAAAGATTATTTGTAAAATTTGCCAGGGAATAGTGAAATTTTGTAAAGCATTGTTGAACCTTCATATTGGAAAACGCGTGCCCTCCTTTCAAAAGGGTGTGTACCCAATTCCAGTCGGAGTTATTTGTTATTTCTTGTTCAGTTTTGATATAATGTTATATAATCAATAATATAATGCTTTAAGTAACTGTGAAGGTATTATACTAAGTCATATAGAAGGTCACAAAACCTTTTGGAATATTTATCAGTCGTGCATTAGATCATAGCGTGATGGACTACAGCCTTAGCCCTCTCCTTAGAAGCAACACGTGTCTAATTCGTAGTAGTGTAATGTGGATGTGTTTAAACAATGATGAGTAACGTGACCATAACGTCCCGGACAATCCCGTGTTTAAACTTCGTATCTCGCTGTCCCCAAAATATTTAACAATGTCCCGCTTTGACAAAATAGGACACACGTGACATGAATTTGGAAAAAATGCCGTGAAAGCGAAATATATATAAAATCAGCCCACAAGACTACACAAGATTAGTACTTTTTGAATTTTTGATCAACATTTTTTGTTCTGTTTTGAATTTTTTTAATCATTAAACATTTCGTAACTATAATAAACATGTTTTATTTTTAAAACAATAATAAATTTACAGGCGTCCCGCTCTGAAGGGAAAAAATAAAGGTCGTTAAGTACGATTGGACATTTCTACAGGGAAAACAAAATATTGTAATATAATATTTATTGTTTATTTGGCTAAAATTGTTTTAAACAAGATACCGACCACCTGCCGAAATATGACCGGACCTTTTGTTGCAACCTGTATGTACGAGATTACTTAAGTACGTAATTGGCGAGTTTTGAATGATGTAGAAGATGTCCTATCTAAACAGTCGTGAATTATTATCGTACGTGAGAATTTGGTTGATGAATACGGTTTCAATGAAACGGACATTAATAATAATAATAATAAAATAAGAGTTTAAAATAAATACAATAATAATAATAATAATAATAATAATGCCCACACTCAACATAGCCCCGCACTAGGAAACCATAGACAACCAGAAATTACACCCAAACTCACGAGAGAAATAAATGTAGGCTATACAAATATTTCTCCTGACCCCGGAATCGAACCTGGGATCTCTGAATGGCAGTCCGGCATGGGAACCATTCGGCCATGGAGGCAGTTATTAAAGACATTGTTAAAGATAAACTTGAAATATATATAGTAATGGTTAATCATCCTCAACTTGCATAACACTAATAAATTACCTGATAAAAAATTTAAATCTATTACGCATACTAGAGAAAACTCTCCATCAAAACAAACCAACTGCTGCCCTTTGTAGTTTGGACTACCTTATCATAAGTGGCATAGAGTTGACTTTAACATGCAGATACTGTACATAATATTTACTTCTAAGTAATATACGATCGATCACCGCCACCGTGTGGGCGAGTCGTGTCGCCAAAAAGACTGCAAACAACTCGCCTATATTATAGCTTATTAATGCACTCTATTAACAAGTGTAATAAAAAGCAGTACAGGGTTCACATTTATTCCCATTAGCCCCAAATACATTCTTTTAAACATTTAAACAACCAATATCTCAAAAAAATTAGGATTAAAATTTAAAACTTGTAATATTTAAAAATTTTGTAATAAAAAACCGACCTCTAAAGTTCGTGGAATTACATCTATTTGCCAAGTTTTATTGAAATCGGAAAGTGCGCGAAACCGGATTCATCCCCTTTTTTTTCTTTCTAGTTTGCCACCCTTAGAGGGGGAATATTTTTTCTTCAAATTTAAATGCGATCACTACTTAGGTATTCTCTTTCCAACAAAAAGAATCATACAAATCGGTTCACAACTGCCGAAGTAATTGCGTAACATACATAGAAAACAAAAATAGCGAATTGAGAACCTACTCTTTTTCATACCTCCTTTCCTTTCCTCTCTTTTACATAACTAGCGAGTTTTCAATGTCAATGGTCAATGCTTTCCTAAATCAGACGTCAATCTGTTACAGGCATGCAGTGAAACCCTTGTCAGGATCAGCGCCATCAGTCAACGTGTCAGTAGTTCAGAGCGCGGGCTCGGGAACAGAGACCAAAGACGGCAAGCAGCCCAGCAAGTCCCGACAGAAAAAGTTTCAGAGACACTTCCCGCAGGTCGGGCCCGAAGAACGAGTACTCAATTGTAAGTTTAATTTATTTTATCTACGTGTTCTATCTATTCGATGCGTCACCACTTTAAGAGTGCCTGTAGCGGCCACCCGCAGCATCACAGATCATATTTTAATTATAAACATATGGCTCTCACAAAAAAATAAAGTCAACAAAACAAGGGACAGAGATAGCTACATTTTCCGCTTGTAAAAATAACAGTTTTGGGATTGAGGAGACTTCAACTTTGCTGATAGTGTGTGCGATACCAAAATGTTATAAAAAATATGAAGGGAATGATCGATGATGAAGAAGAGTAAGTCCCGATTACAGAAAAAGGTCTATATGGAGCTATACAGGAGATAGAACATAGAGGGCGTTTCACTGACCGTCAACAAAACTTTTGTATCTAATATTCAATATATCAATCATGCTTATAAACCCATATATGTTCCACTGCTGAGTACAGCTTTCGTTTGGGAGAGGATTAAGGCACATAGTCCATGACGGGTTGTGAACTGGAGTTCGAAAACTTTGTGTAAGAAATATAAGAAAAAATCAGGAAATACTATGTATACTTTTAGTTTTTTAAAAAGTATAAGACTGTCGAATTTTTTTTGTTTGAAAGTAGCGTTTGTTTGTTTACTATTGCAAGTAGTGTATGATATGATAATCCACTTTTTTTAATGCAAAATATACTGCCAAAACTCACTTAATGTTAAGCGACGATATTATGACTGACTATAGTAAAACAGACGCGTTTGTCTATAAATGCCTATTCGCTCTACCCCTAAATAGCCTCAAATTTGAGGAAACAAAGGCTTGTCACACGAATCTAAACCAAACGGTGTTCACTACATTTTGTTCTTATACTTTATGGAATTATAGAGCCCTTTTTCCGATCTGACCTTTTTTATTATTGAATCAATAAGAGTTCTTATAACTCGTCCATATCGCTTGCCCTCAATTTTTGTGGAAATTCTGTATCTTTCATTTCTTTCATTTCAGATTATTCCTGTGCCCTTGTTGGCGATTTGCTTCTCCAGGGGCATCTGTATATAACGAAGAATTATTTCGCTTTTTATTCAAATGTCTTCGGATATGTTACTAAGGTAAGATTTTTCCTAATTTATTAGATGTTTTGTGAGATTTTCAACCATATTACTGGTATATTTAGAACAAGACTATAAAGTAATCTGGCGTGCTGTTAATTAAATTGTCACGATGGGAATAATGTTTCGGGTTGGGTAATAAAACATTTTATTTATAATAATTATTCATTTACGTAGCTATTTTACAAACTGGTGGTCAGCTTACAATGACGTAATTATGTTTAAATTCAAAATTAGAACTTAACACTTAACGGTCACGGATGGTTTGAAACAGCGTTAAAAAACCATAAAACAAATAATTAAATTGTGGTTATTGCCGCCAAAATTTCAAGGTTTTGCTTTATTTATTTATTATTACATTTCAAAAGCACTAAAAATAAAACATTTCAGTTTAACATAAACTTAACTAAGTTTTTCTGTATACCGCGTATTCGTCGTACAAAAACATTTCTATGTGTAGTGTGTGCGTTCGTACCACTGCGTGTTGACATTCCTCGGAGTGTGCGTAAGAGTCGTTAATAAAGGTGTCACTAAATCTTGATCTTGTAGACCCCACCGCTGGACACGAGTCTCTTCTAATAAAATGGTCGTGAACAGTACTTTAATATTTTATTTAGTTTCGGTTTCATTATTAAGCAAAATCAACGTAATGTACATTTTATTAGGTGACAATAAAACTTTACGTACTAATATCTCGAAAGTCCCCGAAATGCAAATGCGTTAGTTATTATAATGAGGGCAGGGTTGTTTTGTTACTTGTTTATTGTTAATCGTATAGCGTCTAACGCATTGTATAAACTCGTATATCGTCGCCTTAGAGTGAATACCTCGTATGTGATTTCTATGTAATTTTTCAGGGCGAAGATAAAAATGTGGCGTAAAATGTAGTAAACGCAATAATGTTTGCAGTTAGAGCATTTTAATTAGTAAAATTTTACCTCTTTCGGATACTATACCACTTTAATAATTTATTGGAGCAAGAAGTTTATAAGTTTTTCTTCAACAAAAATCAGTAAAAACGAACTATGTGAAAACGCATATGCGAGGTTTTCATTCTAGGGCGACGATATAGAGTTATGAAAAAAGTTTCAGTTTGGCAGGGAGTAATCTGGTTTTTGCCAAGAAAGCATTGATGGCTTGTATTTAGACCAGGGCCTATAAATATAATTGTAGAAGCTCGAGCACAAGCAAAATTGGACATAAAATCCTCACCTATATTATAATATACAATTTACAACGTGCCGCTAAAAGCTTTTAATATGGGCAGTAAAAAAAATACATTGTAATTAGTATAGTACCTTTGTACATTTTTGTGTTAAATTTTACAACTGATACTCCAATAACCGTTACTTTTTCGATCTCGGAAGTCTACAAGGTTTTAGATAATAATATAGTCCTGTTGTCGGTTATAATCTACCGTGCAGATCTGTTTGTATGGACAGTTAACATTATAGGTATAAAAGAGTATTTTCTGAATAGGTAAACTCAGTCAACGTTTTCGCCGCGTTAATACCGCATTATGATGACACCGCAATGGCACGTAAATTTTAACGTGACGTTTCCGCCGAAGAATATTATTTATTATATTTTATCGCGACATTAAAAATACAACTTTATATTTGTAAGAGTTTGACACTACCGTTATTATTCAATACACGATTATCACTATCCATCGAGTATATTACCAGAAATAGAGACGAAATGTCATTTAATTTGTTTGAAAACTATTCTGCCCAATCATTACGGCGACAACTTCGCTCCGATTGGCCAGCCCGAATTCGAAACAATTGACGGGTATCGTCAATTGTTTTACTTCAAGTCGACCTGTTTAATTTGAGCTTTGCCATAATGAACGAAAATTGCAAAATTACAAATTTAATAATTAATTATCGATGAAACTTGACTCCGTTTGTTTTGTAATTAGGAAACGTATACACAGGTCCGTTGTTGGCGCTGTACTATTTCAGTTTTCTAATTTGTGATTTCAGCGCAAACGAGAATTGACATTTAAAAGTGATATAAGGCTCATTTACCTGATGAGTTGCCAGGGATGGATGGCTCTTATTTCGCCTCTATTTCTGGTTATATACTCGATGTCACTATCTTATCACGATATGATTTTTCATTTTACAACGTCAAACCCTCATGTCAACATCTTGCGGCGATACCACTGTTACTTACTTTTTCCCGTCATACCAAACTCACTTCATCTACTCGTGAAACTGGAGTCAAAACATTTTTGTTTTTATTATTGCTGTTATAAAGAGTAAGCGTTGACAAGGACGAGAAGAAGTTAATTTGAACGAATCAACAAATAAATGGAAGCCACGTCCTAAAGGAGGTCAAAAAAAGCCTTGCAGAAATGCAAGGGTAGTGTAGTGCAGAAATGTAGTTACCATACTAGTCTTATTATACTTTGTAATTGATGACTGGGAGGCTTTTCATGCCTGTCTTTCGTACGCGGGGACGGCAGACTTAGATACTTTCCAGAAACTAATGTGCATATATGTATATAGTTATAACTTTCAAGTAGGCAAAAACGCTGCAATGTCACCGATGTCACATTGAAAACATAGAACAATTCACAACCTTGAACTTAAGCCATTGAAATTAAAGCAATAATGCGCATTATTTGCTTGACATTTAAATAACTAAAGCCTGGTAGGCGTCTTTGTTAAGAGTGGGAACCCATTCAACAGCGGCGATCGTCAGCTTTGGAGAGAGGTATTGCTAGTAAACATTCACTAATGTACATAAATTACAAAGTAATGACATAGAGCGGTACCACTGCTCGGACCCCGGTATGTAAACAGAAGGCACGTATTGAACTTAAGTACTACATTTTCAGCGAAAGCTGCTTCTGGTGTTGCTTATTGAAATCTACAAATAAAAAGCATTTTTCAATATTATAATCGACTCAATACATGAAGTGTTCAATCCAATAAAACTTATCTGACTTCTTGTGTAACTCTGACCTGACCCAAATTCAATAGAATATTGAAGCGTCCGATCGATCTTGTTAAGGATTTTCCTTTTATTTAAGTTGCACTTAAGCTGTGTTAGCGATTTTTTTTTAAACTGGTTGTTATGCGATCTTTGAGCAAGTTACACAAGTTACCTACGGCAATGTGTTTTGACACTGCCTACCTGGCCGAACGGTTACCATGCCGGACTGCCACGCAGAGGTCCCAGGTTCGATTCCCGAGCCGGGCGAAATATTTGTATGACCTACATTTATTTCTCTCGTGAGTTTGGGTGTAATTTGTGGTTGTCTATGTGTGTCCATGGCACCCGCGACACAGGGTTTCCCTAGTGCGGGGCTATGTTGAGTGTGTGCGTTATTATTATTATTATTATTATTATTTTTATATTATACAATGCCAGATTTTGTCTCACCAATGAAATCTGTATCAGAAGATAACAACCTTTGTAGTGAATTCTTGGTATTTTAGTTACAAAAACTTTCAACTGAAATTCCCTGATCTTTATTGTAATTGCAGGTAGTGCAGACTTTCATATACAATTACATCTACATATAGATATCACGGAAATTTCTGCGAACTAAAAGTAGTATACCGAGGTCAAGACGTCTAGGTACAATACGTACATACATTAGACCATCAGACGAACTTTCTATGTATCATAATTTGCTCACGATAAGTTTATCGCAAGTATATATGACAGGGACGTCACGATATTATAAAGTATTCAATTATGGTTTTAATATAAATTCTTCCTGTCTCTATTTACAGTTGCTCATCCCAGTCACGTCCGTGCTCCGAATCACAAAGGAGAAGGTGGCCAGGATTATCCCGAATGCAGTGGGAGTATGCACGAGAGACGAGCGACATGTTTTCGGGTCGCTTTTGTCGCGCGACTCTACGTACAAGCTGATGACGCAAGTTTGGAAGGCCACTCGAGTGCCTGAAAATGCTACGCCGAAGCCGCAAGTGAGTTTAGTAATTATCTTCATTCATTCCCAGAAAACCTTTTGTCGGCACTTTGTAGGTTATTAGAGAATATTACCTAGACTGTTAAACCTACCTACCTGGTTCAAATATTCTGAGTATAGGTATTGAGTGACTAGAAAATAAACTTTTATTTATAAATTTTTATTATTATCGTCACTTGAACGGGACGAACATGTTGTGCGCCTGATGGTAAGCTACACGCCTGTCCATAACAGTTGCTGTGCCACTCAGAGCTTTAAATCCCAAAGCTCTGAAGGGCACTGCCACTGCGCCCGTCACCCTGAGACATAAGTTGACAAGTCCCATGTGCCTGTAATTTCACCAGCACCCTTACCCTTCTAAACCGGAATGCAGTAATGCTAACATTACTCTTGGCGGCAGAAATAAGTAAAGTGGCAGTACTTCCCTGGAGTACTTTCCTTGCGAAACTACTAGTTTACTGCCGCTAAAACTTACTTTATAGGTATACATATAAGTGGATGGAAAGACACTGAAGCAAGACGAGAATGTTCATAACACTACACATTGTGCTATGACGAGGAAACCGTATAGGGGTATGTCGCGTATAATATCCCCCGCACATCTCGCCTGTGTACTGGGGCGGGACACCGTGAGAGGTCTAGCCTCCTCCTTAGTCCATTCTCTAACCCAACAGAATTGTGCTTCGATAGCTAGATCAATGAGGCTAGTATACTGCGGGTCAAGTCAGCACGTGGCAACTTTATACTCATGGAACAAGTATTGTTACAATATTGTTAGTTCTTTCGTTTCTCTATCGTGTTTCCAGTATTTTTCTATTCATGATGCAATGTTAAACAGTACATAGAGGAACTTAGCAAATACAAAGCAGTATTACCACAATATAAAAAATTTGGGTGAAGTTCATTTACTCATTAAATGACATTATCGTGTGATTCGCGACATCTTCAGAAGAGTATACTCGTATAATATATACCGGTAGTATCGCAAGTACCGGTACCATAGTAAGGTTAGGTTAATACATAGTAATAATAATAATAATGCACACACTCGTAGATGTTCATAGCCCCGCACTAGGGAAACCCTGTGTCGCGGGTAGTATAGACACATACATAGACCTATAAATTACACCCAAACTCACGAGAGAAATAAATGTGGATGTACAAATATTTCTCTCGGCTCGGAAATAGAACCCGATACTTTTGCGTAGCAGACCAGCTTGGTAACCGTTCGGCCACAGACGCAGTTAAATTATACTGATAATTTATGCAGCTAGCATCTAAGTACCGATACTGTAGCAAGTTTAGTGGTACCGCTTCCTGAAAATACCGGTATTCCAGCCCTAGCCATCATCATGCTTCAAGAACTTAGATAGCTTTTCTGTGTATATATGTATATAATGTGAAAAACATTTGTTTTCAGGACCTACGTGCATCTGAGGTAGAGTTAGACGCATCAGAGTACTCCCCTGACGACAGTAGCTCTGGCGGGGCGGACCAAAACGACTCGAAACCACCGCCCATAGTGAAGAGAGAACCTGAAGCTATCTCGTCCCTTTCCACAGGTGGGTAAATGCGTGTCTTGATAAAAAACATACGTAACAACTTATGTCTCGCGGTGACGGGTGCAGTGGCCGTGCCCCTCAGATATTTGCGATTTAAAGCTCTGAATGGCACTGCAACTGTTATGGACGGGCGTGTCACTTACCATCAGGCGCACGACTTGTTCATCCCGCCACTTGGTATCATTAAAAAAAGTATTTTGTTCATCCTGTTTTAAGTATAGCACTATCCTATTGTTTTTTCTGTTTGGCCCAATGGTTGACTGGTAGAAAATGCTTTAAGGCATTAAGTCCGCCTTTTGTACTTCAGTATATTGTACAATAAAGTTTGAATAAATAAGTAAATGAAGCGGTACAAATAGATTACCCAGGCGGGTACTGCAGAGAACACTACTTTATTACAAATTAGAGAATTTATTTATTACAAATTAGACCAATAATGGTACTCCTTGTCCATAGCAGGCGCAGCGGTGATCCAACCTGCGCTACTGACAGGTAGTACAGCACCTCGACGAGCGCCGCGTGGCTGGCAGGCGTTCCTCATATTCTCTATCGTCATTCTTGCATTGTCTTCGCTTGTGCTGGCCTTCAAATTATACGTGAGCAGATCGCAGACAGAGGTAATAATACACTATTATACATGTAGGTTACAGGAAATGATATAATGAAAAGCCTCAACCTCAACTGGCTTTGGTTGATTCCGCATAATAGTGAAACTGTCGAATCAATCGCTTTCGAATAATATATATATATTAACATGTTACTATAGTAACATTGAGGATATACATTGATTATACGGAGTGACAACACGATTGCTAAAAATGTTCACAATAGAAAAAAACACAAACTTACCTCGTACTAATTTTACAAGAAAACCGCAATACAGCGGTATGGTATATTATACCAATTCTTTTTTAACCGCGTACAAAAAAAGGAGGTTCTCAATTCGACTGTATGTTTTTTGTATGTTACGCGATAACTCCGGTATTTGTGAACCGATTTTCCTGTTTCCTTTTTCGTTAGAAAGAAGGTACCTCCATGGTGGTCCCATTTAATTTTGAAGAAAATAATCCACCTCTGAGGGTTCACGCATGAAGATTCATTTTTATAGATAGCGCCTAAATTTCATTATAAGGAGCAATTATTTTAATGGTTAATTTTGCTATTCCCCAATTCAAGGCGTTTTTCTCTCTCAATATACTTTGAGTAGTGAGAACCGATTTTTATTATCTCCTGTGTCAAGTCCCGCATAGTGGCGAACTAGGGGATGAATCCGGGTTTGCGCACTTTCCGGTAACCGATTTCAATAAAACTTGGTAATTATATGTAATTCCACGTACTTTTGAAGTCCGTTTTTTTAGTACTCTGTACTGAGATTATTTCATATCAACTGAACTAAATATAGTATACGATATTCATTTTTCAAATGGCTTTAATTTCGTTTTGTAAAAAAATAAATTCTCTAATTTTGTATTAAATATGTGCATTAAATCCAGGATGACGTGTTAAAGCTGTCCGGGGAAGAGTTGTATACTGAGCTCGTGAGATGGCGGGCGCGTCTACACGGCCGCGCTGCCTCGGAAATGCATGCTTTTCTTTCTACCAACCTGTTACTGCTCACAAAGGTATGGTATTCCTTCGTTTAGAAGTTCAATATTTTTAACTTTTTTTAAACTATTTTTTCGGATCTAAACCGCGTCTATTTGTTTTTCAAACGAATTATCATTCGGGACCTTTATAGTTCCCACGGTCACGGCTGACTATACGAGATTTAGAAAATTAGTTTAATTTCTTATGTGTAACAATGGAAACCTAAGAACTCGTTATTTATTTAAATGCAATTTCTTTCTGTACTTCGGCTGCTAAAGCATTGTTTCGGGTCAAGTTTGTTCTGGAATGGACAAACTATTATTGTCATCAAAAGGAATACGGAAGAAGGAGGAGTAAAGAGTGGTGGCTGTAGTTTTGATACCAAGGTGGAACGAATTATTCCTTTCATAAAACCAATGTGAAGTGAAGACACTTTTATTAGTTTCTCATAGATGTCTTTGTATCAGTTATAATAACTAATGTGACTTTATGAAATTTCAGGTACGGCAGTCACTAGAAGCGCTATCTGGGGTGATTCTCACTGACATGGCACAATCCGGTCACCAAATAAATCTCGATGTGCCCAACGAAACTGCTTTTAGTTAGCGGACACTGATACCTTAGTGTCTAATTAATGAACATTCATTTTAGTGTCAAATTAGTGAACAGTATCAACTTGGTGAACAATACCAACTTACTGAAAATGTCATTAGTCGACAATAGTTGTGGATTCCAATTTTTTAACGTAGACTTATTTGACAAACCTGAATATATTGCCTACCTTTCCACTCTCTATTATTTAAAAAAGGACAGCAATGTATAAAGAATTTGAATTACAGAGACCATTGTCATCTTAGTTGAGTTCTACTTTGATATCGACATTTGTGCTGGCTCCAATTTAGTGTTTTAACAAAACTAGAATTAGAATATCTTTTTTTTTTATTAATATGTGGAATTAGTTTACTACCTGAAAATGAAAACGATAACGATTTAATGTTGTTTAATTTAATTTTAGTTTAGCACAGAGTTAATCGTACTGTCACACTAATTGTTGACTTAGTGAAATCTGAATTGTTTTATTGCAATAACTTTAACGCGAACTAAGATTATTGACAATTTTCATTGTAGTTGTTGATGGTGCTGATTCTGTTTTGTACATCAGCCAAATACTAATCGATACTAAAGTTAGTTTTATAGATGTGCGCCACAGAACAATAATCTAAATGTTCACTTTCGTCAAAAGTAATGTGATATTAATTTCTATTGAATTTATTTACGTAATCAATTTATAACAAATAATTTATCTTAAATGTTATTTATTTGTTACAGACTTCCTCATACTATACACATTATGATTTTTTATTGCAATCTTAAACCAGATGTTGTACTGGAAGATTGAAAAAATATACTGTTTATGAATGTATTTAAGTAAGTAACGTTTAAATAAAAACATCTTAAAGTGGCATTTCGAAATATTAAGAATACCGTTTTATATTTCTCCAATATTCTAAACTAACAATAAAGCTAATGATGTTTATATCACTACCCACAAAATGAAAGGACGTTGGTCTTCGTTCTGTCCAATTTACATTACCAGAATTGGCATTAAAATTTAATTTGATCAAAGTAAATGCCTTTGTTAATCTAAATAAAATAGGAACCATAATAATGTCTGTAGCTTGTCTTGTGCCGAAAGTTTAGTTCATAATAATACTTTACAACATTTATCTTAATGTCCAATTTTGAACTAACTGGCATGATTTAATTTTAATTTAGTAAAGTTTTAGTTCACTAAGAAAAATCACAAAATGTGATTTTTGTTGAGATTCGAAATTCCATACGTCTAAAATCGATCAAGCCAAACCGCTTGTCAAGTCAAAGGTGCAACAATTTAATTTGACATTAGTATACCGATTCTGACTATAGTTTTAAATTGATCCCAAAGGTTCCCACCTTAGTTCACTGCTTGCATTAAAACATCGTTGCAACTCAGGGATATCCCAAAATAAAACCCCTTACTGTATGAGTCGATCGAATTTATAGTTTGTTTTTTAGTTTCCATCTATGCTGTCTTTAGTCGCTCAAACAACTTTTTTAGTGAGTTAAAATTAGTGTATTAGTGTATGCTATACATGATGTCAATCACTATGTAACAAAATTTCAACAAGGTTCCGTTTCTGGTTTGACAGTTCTGGTTTCTGTTTAATTGATCAGCACGTATGTAGAAAATAGTAGCTACACCTCTGAAAGTTGGTTTTGTGGCTGTCATACATAGTGGTATTTACATAATCTCGCAAATGTACACATTTTTAGATTCATTGTAATTTATTTGTAGAATTTTGGTTGAAATATATAATGTTTGAAATTTGCGTACCTTTAAAGAAACTTACAAATTTTCTCATTATTTAAAGTCAAAAAGGGGACATTTGTATTTCAAATCACTATTGATTTGAAATATAATGTTCCCTTTGGCTCAATTTATATTGCGGCGGAATGGAATGGAAGCGAATTTTTGTAACTATATTGTTTATGGCGTAATGAACTTTATGGTTAATAGTGTAACGTACAAACTAGATACCAGCTAAAAATCAAGTCGTCTCGCGCATTCGCGAGAATTCCGCGGCTGCCGTCGTCGACGCTTGGCGAAACCGCGGGATGTGGCGCGCCGTGTAACGCAGTGTAACGTCAAATGTCGACAAAATACAACAGCCTCAAGGCGCAGTTCCTGGAATGCTCGAGCAATTACAGTGATCGAGCGCGCCTTCTCGCGCAGCGAAGCGAAATTAACGCTTCCATTCCCTTCCGCCGCAACGTAGATTGAGCCTTTTTGTCTTTAAATAAAGACAAACACGAAAATTTTGTAAGTTTCCTTCATGGTACGGAAATTTCAACTTTTGTTGTTGTACAACACAAAAGTGACGTTTTAAACAGGGGAGTAAAGATTTTTCTTGTTTTTATGTTAGAACCAATTAGAAAATGATATTGTAACCCAAAAACAAAAATCGTGTTACATGATGTATTCTACCCTACTTTCAGTGGTTTGCCAAATAGGTTTAAATAACGATTCTTGCCAGTACATTATGACATTTTATACATTCTATTGTAATTATGAACATGTTGCTGCAGGTTAACCCTCGTCAATTTAGACGAAGTCAACTATTCTTGGGAAATACCATTTCATAGTAAGAATTCCTAAATAATCTATTTCTCTAGTCTCTAAAGCTCACGGAATTTACAATTCTGTGAGATTTATTTTAATATTGACTTAATTTCATATTACCAGTTTTCTTAACGTTATTACGACATATTTTTTATCACTGTTGATAGCAACAAACGCGTAAAGTATGCCAGGCCACTTTTGAAAATTACCTTACGTCTTTAACATGGCGTTGGTTGTTAAAATGCAGTAAGTTTTTGTAGGCAGACTATATATTAGCATGTGCCTCGATATACTTTTGTTAAAAAAATAACAATGTTTAGACAAATGCAATATTAATTTACTGTAGTAGAAATAGTTTCATGTATTTAATATTTAACATAATGTAACAAAACAGTTGATTTTACAAAGCATTATAATGTAATAGATGAAGTGTAAACTATTATTTAATTATTGATGTAACTTGTGTAATAATATATTATAATTATGTTACGCGAAGGTGTCTTGTAACATCGTTTTTATTGTGTTGCGAGAAAATGTACCAAAAGGCAGTTCCCAGAGGTATCGCGAAGGAGAATGTTGCGTAACGCGCGGCCGTGTGTGATACTGTAGTGTATTATACAAATCAACGTTCTTCAGTTAGTGTTGCGTCTCTCTGTTGCGTCCTCTTGTGAGAGCCGTCTTAGCCAAGCCGCATTGAGACTTTCTGATTAAGATATAATTTGTTATGTCTCAGGATGACGGGCTCAGTGGCAGTGCCCCTCAGATCTTTATGATTTAAATCGCTCTGAGCGGCACTGCAACTGATAGGGATAGGCGTGTCATTTACCACCAGCACACACGTTCGTCCCACCAGTTCGTGTCATAAAAACAAATGTTCTGTCAGATGTTATGCCGTTACAATTTTATGTCCGCTGCAAGCACCAATACGTACACCGACTAACAAAGGAAAGGTACAGTTGCAAAAACACTTTTTAGAAATAAAAACAACAGTAAATCACGGAATGTTTTTAATTTTATCGAGAAAATGAATTATCTGCAGGTGTAATACAATTGTATATGTACATATTTTCAAGTAAAGAAAATCATAATATTTTTTGATTGGTGAAAAAGTGCGGATTCCTTCCGGTATCTGACAGGATATATAATCAGCAATTCTGAAAATATACTTTGTGTTATTGTTGGTAATTTCTGTGAATGGCCTAAATTCGTTTGTACCGGTTACCATCAGTGCCAAAGTCTACGTCGTTTTCTCATGTTGTGTATTTGAACTTGTTTCTATTAATAGATACTAGCGCAAAATCTTACTCTGTTCTAAATATAGACTTTAGGTACGTAAGAGTACATTCTTAGGAGTCCTACTTTATGGTAGTTGACATACATTTAGTGGAACGTGCGCTAAATAAGTATGTAAGCAATAACAATATGTACAAATTTTGAAAAAGGTTCTGTTTCTGGTTTAACAGTATTGATTTCTGTTTTATTGAGCAGCAATTTGCTTTTGTTACTGTCACATGTGTATAAACATTATTTATAAAAGTGGTAAAGTCCAATAATTGCACTAAAATACCATAGATGGCATTACTAGTTTACTCAGAGAACTAAAATTACTACACATTAATTTTCTAAAAGATCATTATTTCAAAATTTAATTACAAGGGCTTAATTCACATTTACAATGAACGACACATTTCTAGGTTCGTTGTCATCAATTTGTAGAATATTTGTTGAAATTATGCTATAGATTTTAAATATAATGTTCCGTTTTTACCCGAAAATTTGTACATTGTCTAAATGGTACGCAAATTCAAACTTTTCGCTATTGGGATCACAAAAACCAAAGTTTTGCATGGAAATAAAGTTTTTTCATATTTTTATCTTAAAACGAATAAGAAAACGATATTGATAAGCCGGAAACAAAAATCAGGTTACACGGGGCAATAAAAAAAAGACAGCATTTTTAAACACATTATTACCGCCAGCGTCCACGTTCCTAGCTGCCATGTTGTAAAAGGTAGTACATTTCATTTAAAACAATTTAAGAGCATTTAGAAGATACTATCCATGTTTTTGTATAGTCGAGTAATTCTTTCCCTTCGCCAATTTCCATTTCAAAGTCGATGACAATTTTGTATTCGCAAGTGCTAAATAGTTAGACGTGTTGACTTGACTTACAGTTTTACTAAATTTTCGCATATAAAATCGTCCATTTCAAAATTAAATGGAAAAAGTATAATTTAAAAACATTTTTAATGCTCAAGGCGACTCAAGTAGCATCTTTTCGTTCGGTAACTTTTTGCCATATCTTTATGATTGTTACATATATGGAGAAAGTACAAGTAAAAGCTTTGTCGCCAAGTCGCTGGGTACAGTATGTCACTAAAGACTGAAATTAAAGGATCTAATTGTTGCCACGGATTTAACAACTTTTGTTGTACAATTTTCAAAACATTGCTCAAAAACACTTCGCTAATTGACGTCATCAGCGCAAAAGTGGTGTAATCCACATTTAATTTCTTTTGTATAATATTACTTTAAACGATACTAAAGAACATAATTACTTCGTATTTCGATGCTATTTTCATGTATAAAATATTATAATAATAAAATATTTTTTAAACCTAAAAATAGCATTCAAATATAAAATAATTATGTTCTTTAGTATCATTTAAAGTAATGTAGAAAAAAAATTAATGTGGGTTATACCACTTTTGCGTTGATAGCCTTTTATATCCCTTTACATTGAGGTAAAAAACCAAAAATGTTGACCTTATTTTATTCCAAGTATTAAATCGACGGTTTAATTTGCAGTATATGCTTTTATTAGGTCATTACACGTCTAACCAACAATTAATGATTTTACGAAAGCTAAATAATGATTTTATTGCCAAAGACAACCTTAGACTATATGAAATAAAGCGTAGTTAGAATATATTATAATAGTGAGGTTTGTACAATAGGTAAGAACATGTTGTTATTTATGGTTTATATTAACTTTTTGTAATATATTTTTTGTTCACTTTTGAAAGATTTTATTTCATATTGTGCAATATTTTTTTTTGTAGCCGGTGAGAATATTATTTTTTTTTGTTAAAATTATTGAATTTTGGGACAGTAATTACTGTCTTTATTTCATCATAAATATATAACAATTTAATAATAATTTTCTTTTTTGTTTTTATTGTATTTTTTTATATATATTAAAATGTTAACTTTATACTAAACACATTGTGAAAGATCCTTTATCGCATTCATAAGACAACTTTAAATGAACTAATATTTAGGAAAACGAATGACTTTTTAGTTTAGAGGATACCCGTTAAAAATAAAGTTGAAGTCTCGGTTCAACATATTATAATATACATTTCGTGAATAATTTTAGATATCATTTTTTTGACGAGTCGTTATTTTGAATTAAAAATTAAAATTAATTATTTTTAATTGTTAATGTGCCTAGAAGTAAATCTTGAAATTGTGTAAACTAAGTAAGCCTCAATTTTTAAGTCGTATTCTGGAACAAAATTGCATGTTTAGCGAATGCGTTATATTATAGAAGTTGCTCATAAAATGCGTTGTATGGTTACATGTAGTTAAATTATGTTATTTCTACTGCGTAGGAATTGTCAGTTTGACGTTTGATTGACATTTTTGTATATGTTTGTTTTGGATGATTTGTTTGTTGTTCCATGTAAATAAAATAGATAGACGAGTTAAATATGAATTTTGTAGTTTAAATTTCTCAAAACAGTACTCTTTACCCTGATCTTATTTATAAACAAAACACGCTACAAAACGATGGCAATCACGTGCATTATAATGTTACATGTCAAATTAAATTTTTGTAAGAAATATTCTTTCAAATCATATAATGTTAAAGAAACATCCGTTAAGGCCAATTTTGCGTGTTAAATAATATCAAATTAAAAAACTATTTGCGGATTTTGTTTATTCTTTATTGCATATCACAAATTACCATAACAACAGAGAAAAGTGATGTACAACAGGTGGCTGTATGGCTAAGTAGAAATTTCTTCCAGGCAACTTTAGGATAAAAATTATCGAGATATACACACGCACACACGCACACCCGCACACCCGCACACCCGCACACGCGCACACACATACATACATACAGACATATATCGTCGTAGTCGTACAACAAAAACTGATCTGAAATTCCACAACTTTACAGTAGAGCACTTTAAAGACTTTTTAAGAGGTTTTATGTCATATTTTTAAAACGGCTACATATTACTGTGTGTATAGACTTTTACAAAATGACGTACAAAAAGTTCCTAATATATGTATCTAGATTTTGTCAAAAGTCACATGCGTCAATGTTCCACGGGTTCCAATATAATGTGACGTATGTTATTATACGACGTTATTGAACGGAGTTTAATTGTATAATAGATGGCGTATTATAATATCCGATATTTTAGGGAATTAGCACCTACTTAAAAACCACTATAACTTCAAATTAAATTAATTATTGTGAGCTATATTAGCGGAGATAAAACATTCATTGTGAACGAGACTTTTACTATAACCCGTAAGAGTTAACTTGAGATCTGAGCAGTAGGTAGTACACAACGGCGCTCAGGTCTGAAGTTAACTTTTACGGGCTACACCTGCCAATGAGAATGATTATTGAAACGCAACTTTATAGTATTCAGACAGAGTATCTTTTATTCAAAATAAAACAAACATAATCGATTCTAATATAAAAACTAATGTGAGGGATGAATCTGATGCTGTTTCATAAGTTTGTTGATATCAGATTCCTGTTTACTCAAGAACAGCCGTAAGTCACCACGTTCGGTAACATACAAACGATTTCTCTTTTTAGTAAGCAGCGTTGTCACAGCACTAAAACCACGTTCATACAAATATGACGAGGGGAATGCTATAAAGAATCGTTGAACGATTGCCCACAATCCAGGGTACAATTTCGGGATCGGTTTTTGTAGCCAAAATTCTTGGTGGCCATTTTTGAACTTGATTTTTATTTCCTCGTTCGTTGTCAATTCTATAAGTTCTTCTTCCAGCTGAGGTAATATTGCTGTGTAACATTTGAAAACGGATCCAACACCCCGTCTGGTATTTCCAAGTTCAAAATGTCCTGGTATCGTTCGGTGAAGTCAATGTGGAGGTTTTCCAAATGTTGGCAGTAGGCAAACAAGTGGTCGTTACTGCAAGATACTGATAAATTCGGAAAATTGTGAAATTCACGTCTGCCCATATTCTTTTTGTGTAGAAGCAGTTTGGCTGCGAAGGCAGCAACGACATTTTTTGTTTTAATTAAATTTAGTTCATCGCCTTGCAGTTGGAGATTCATGTCGTTGAACAATTTATACGGGTCTGTGATTTAAGCTATATCATTCTTTGATGTAATGAGCTTATTGCGCAATTTTGTATCTTTAGTTTTCAAGAACTCTACCACAGAGTCAAACAAAAAAAAAACGGTTGTAAAATCGAGTCAGACAATTGCCTCTTGATAGCCAACGAACTTCAGTGTGAAACAACAAACGGTTGAAATCTTCGTCATTAGTAACACAAAGCTGATGAAATAATCTATCATTCAAAGAGCTGTTACGGATTTTATTGGCTGCTGTGATGACATATTGCAGTGATTGAAATAGTCGTTCACTTAAATTTCTAGCAACCAAATGTTATCTATGAATAACGCAATGTACTGCAAAGACATCTGGAATTTTATTTATTAAGTACGCTATGAAGCCTTTAGGGTACACTGTCATAGCCGGAGCGCCATCTGTAGCAACTGATATAATAATTTTCAAGGTAATCTATTTCTCATCATAAAACTTTTCTAATGTATTGAATATGGTTTCGCCTTTTGTATCGGTCTCTAAATTTCTAGCAAACAATAGTTCTTCAATATTTTTTCATTATATATATAAAGCTACAAATCCTGACTCACTTAGAAAAATAGAACGCATACTTCCCGATATGGTGGAATAAATTTATTTATACCCAATGTACGCGGATAGGCTCCAAGGCAAAGAATCAAATATGAGAAAACCTGAATGTGGAAAATGTAAACGAGTGATCAACGGCCTGCAAAAACTATAATATATATAAAAAACTCAAATCGAAATTCAAATCATCATCACGGAAACTAGAGATAGGTAGGAGGTGCTGGAAGGAATGTCATGGAGGGTAATAGTGGTCAACTGCCGCTGTAAAAAAAATTCAAGATGGCTAACCCAAAATAGCGGCCGAAGAAAAACTTGCTTCGATGCGGCTGAAAATTGGCATGCGGGGGTCTTTAGGAGCCCTTGATTATAATTTGCGGTCAAAAGCTTTTTTCGCCATTTTTTTATATGGCGGTCATACAAGTGCTTTTTTCATTAAAAATAGCTGCTGAAAGAGACTCGCTCTGTTGCAGCTAAAAATTGGCGTGTGGATGCCTCTAGAAGTGCTAGACAATAATTTGTGCTCGAAATTGGTTTTTCGCCATTTTCAAATATGGCCGCCATACAAGCGTTTGTTGGCAGTAGAAAAAAAATTGTCTGATCCCTTTGTAAGTTGTCATGCTCTAGAAGTGCTTGATAATAATTAGTGATCAACATCAGTTTATTGCCATTTTTCAATATGGCTGCCATAGAAGTGTAGAAAATTTGCTCTAATTCGATTGAATGCTGGGGCATGTTGGGGATTTCTATGGGTGTTTAATAATAATTTGCTGTCAAAACTTGTTTTTCGCCATTTTTCAATACGGCTGCCGTACAAAGTTTTTGGCGGCAGATAGAAATTTGTTCTAATTTAGCTGAAAATGGGCATGTAGGGGAGATCCCCACATAGAGATTATGGCTGTTTAATAATAATTTGCGGTTAAAATTTACTTTTAGTCATTTTTCAATACAGCTGACTTACAAACTTTTTTAGCGAATGATAAAAATTAAGTTGGTTCTGGTCAGGGTATTCTGGGGAACCCTGACCAGAACCAACTTAATTTTTTTTTCCATAAATTGGCTCAAATCAGGGATCGAATCTGGAAACCTCCTCATCAAGCGCCCATAGTACTAATCACTGTGCCACTGAAGAGCATAAGCACACCCCGTAATCTGCAACCGACCACGCGCCGCATGGCGAGATCGACCCCACCGTAGGTGGAGTATAGGGGTCGTTTTTAATAAACCTCACGTAAGATAGCAACAATGCGTCATTAGTTGGTAAAGTGGACTCATCGAGTTGAATTGAGAATTGACTAGTCCTCAGATGATTGCATAAGGATTATTCAATGTTTTCAGCCATTTCATCAATTCGTCTTTGCACAGAATTATTACTCAAAGGAATTTTTCGGATATCTGCGGCCGGTTTATGAAGCACAGTAGTTATTACTTCCTTTATTGCTGGCAAAATTAACTCTTCTCCGATGTTGTGTGGTTTGCCTTTTTGAGCAATTAACAAAGAGATATTGTACGAAGCTTGAAGTCCGTCGTCATCTTGCTTAGCAGCCGCCGAAAAGAGTTTTGCTACACTTGGCTGAATATTATGCTTCTTCTCTAGGTCTTGAAAATATGCTACATTCTTGTCTTTCTTATCTGGATGCATTTTATTCAAATGATGTTTCAGTCTTGAAGGCTTCATTGCTTCATTCGATAATGTTTTTAGACATAGAAGGCACAAAGGCGACTGATGACATGAATCCGAATTTAATATATTCCGCACAGTATTGCCGTCTCTTCTTTTTTACTTCCGTCATTGTTTTGTTTTGAGAAATACGTAAGTAAGTTTTGAACTTAAGTACTGCTTATCTATTACGCCCGAAACCGGAAATGAAAATAAAATAAATATTACGTGGTTTATATAGGATTGCATAAGCAGCACGCACCGACAGGAATAAGACAAACATGCATAAACTCCTTTATCTCATTCGACCCTCAATCATACTCAACAAATAAGACAACAAACAAGTATTCTAAGAACCAGCCGATTGATACAGGAATGCACAAATCGGGTTATTTAACAAAAACCTTTTAAAACATGATCGCCCGCGGTCTATTATCTACGAAAATTACCTATCTAGGAATACTAATAACTAATATAATAAAAAAAATATATTAAAATAAATATGTAATAAATATATTAAAAATATATTAAAATGCGAAACTGTGTCTGTTGCCTTTTTATTTGTTTGTTTGTGTCTACTTTCATTTCGAAACGGAGCGACCGATTGACATGACTTTTATTTTATTTATTCAATAAAACAGGACAGATATATGAACTACACGAAGATAAATATCGAACCGAGGTAGTTTGACCAATCTCTTAATTAATATTAGTTGATGTTCACAAGTTGTAGTCGAGAGTCGAGAGCTCAGTCGGTGTGTAAGTCTTCATAGATGAAATTACAAATCTGCCCCTAAGCCTCCACACAACGCTCCCATTTTTTTTCTGGGTCTCTTACCGCCCTTACCCTTTAGGCCTGCAGCGCCCACAAGGGGGCGTTATCGCCCACTTTGAGAAAGGCTGGTTTAGACTCTAAATAGATCGCTCTAAACTTTAGTGCGATCTATTTAAATAAATTTATTTTTGTATGAAAGTTAAATATGATGAATTATTAAGTTGTGGAACACAAGATGGTGCTTATGGTGTTAGCAATACAGTCCTGCACAGAAAAAAAGGATTTCTACTAATAAGAAAGAGCAATTTCTCAAAATATTTGCTAATTCTGAAAAAATATTTCTTAAAAGTAATAAAATATTGTCATTACAAAAATACTGCTTATCTTTTTGTAATACAATTTTACTCTTAACTTTATTCTAACTTTGAGACAAATACGTTCACTTCAAGATTTTATTTCATTTCTAATCAATTAATTGGGCATTACTTACATCAAGAAATTTTTATCTCTTATATCATATTTAAATAATACTAAATGAATTCAAAATTTCTTGGATGTATTCTAAGAAAATATATTCTTAAACAAATAAAGAAGTAGTTTTCTATTCAGATTAATATTCTAAATTTTAGAGTATATTCTTAAAGCAATATTTCGTTGCGTTTTCATAGTCAATGTTGTCGTGACATGTCGCCGAAGGCGCACGCGGTAATGATTACTTTTACTTGTGCTTGTAATCATAAAAATCATAAACAGTCATTTATCCAAAGAAATCATTCTTTTTTTTTTTTTTCAAATCAAAATCGGACATTTCTAATAACAAATAAATATTTTGTTGAATCTAGAGTGGGTTTGTGACTTGAAGTAAATTAATTTGCTCTTGGATTAAATATTTCTGTCTTGTAACGAAAATACACTTTTGAGACGTTTTTTTTTACTATTATAAAGTAATTATTCTCTAGCGTAGGGAGAGGATCGTTATGTTGGATTTAATAAATTTGTCTTCATAAAAAGAATGTTGTCTTTTTCTAAGTAATCTGTTTTTACCGTGTGGGAGGTTGTTAGTACTTTACAAATAAGAACGTGTTTAAGTATAAGAAAATATAATTATACGCAGGAGTCTCCCCGCACCATGGGCAACATTCGACGATCGCCGCATTATGGTAGTATATATGCCATCGATATGATAAGAAGAAGAAATACACTTACGTTGGAAAAAATAAATAAATAACATTAAAGTAGGAAAATATTACTATTTAAAATAAAGAATTAGGGGAGAAAAGACGAAACTGGAGACATTTCACTCAAGGACACTTCCATGACTCTCAAGTTTCGTCTTTTCTAAAAAGTAAGTATACTTACTTTAGCATGTCATTTGACGAAACGAAGACAAGGTCCAAATCGTTAAATAGGTCCAGAGAGGGAATTCCACATCCAGCATACACGATAAACGAGTTGGAGATATGAATAATAAAGCATTCCTACAGCCATTTTTTTGATCTTTGTAAATTCAAATTGTTTAATCCATATTTGCCCCTAGAGTCAAAAACGACCCAAAACTAGATGTATGTTTCAGTGCGTTATTTATGTTAAAATTGTATAATAATTCTAATAACGTTAGACGACCAGTTAATTTAGGACTAAAACTATGGCGTTAATGCTTCTTCTTAATTTTCATATTATAAATGAAAAATGCTTCTAACTCTTCTACTTGACGAAGATCTAAGTTGACTGTTTTGCAAAACTCTGTATCATCTATCTCATAATGTTCTATATATGTCATCTTGAGAATGCCATACCGGGATCCCGCAACAATTTGCCAGCCTGAGCGGGTTAGAGCATAAGCAGATTAAGGGTCGTATTCTAGAACTCTACTCAATGCTCAAGTCAGGATTTGAGTACGGTTTAAAGCACTCGAAATCATACTCAAGTCCCTGCCATTAGGGTCGTATTTCCAATGCTTGTGTTTCCAGTGCAATCCTGACTTGAGCATTGAGTAGAGTTCTAGAATACGACCCTCTATGTGTTGATCGGCGCGCCTGAATCGCGTTAACAAGGATCGCGGTCGTCTGCGTACGTAATACGCCGTGTGCATACTCTTTTTATATAAAGACTTTGCAAGAGTTGATGTTGTGAGAAAATTTACAGATAGCGAAATGCAGTTTGAGTAAATCGATAATTAAAACGATAGGACGTTCCATTAAAAATGCATTTGGCGACAAAATATAAAATTTATACCAAGTCAAAATATTTGGCAGATTTATTTATCAACCTCTGTAGGTCTTAATTTAGTACCCTTGTAGTTAACCCAGCTAAGGAAATAACCATTATGATTCATGTGGATTAAAAAGCTCATCTTCAGTGAAAGAACAACGAGCTTTTTCCGCTGCAGGCTGTATACCTATAGTCTGTCTTTTTCTGCAAACGGAGTAAAATTACATTTGTAAGGTTGCCAGTTTTCATAAATTTTAAAACAGTGATGTAGTAGTTGTTGATATTTTATCGATAGATTTTTGAAAGAAGATCAAATTATGTCAATAATGACTGAATTATGAATGTTACGACGTTCTAACGATTACTTATTGATTTATTGCTTTCTTTATTCTTATTTTGACAGTTACTTAGTCTACTATCGAGACTAATTTTTATTCGTATACATTTTAACAAGAATAGCCGGATTTGATTATCTGTATTGAATTAAAATAAAAAACTTTAAAATATGTCTCGTCTTTGTATTTTTCATAAACAGTTCTAAATGCAGTACGTACGATCTGCTCGCATTTTTACTCCGTCTTCAAAAAAGTCTGACTATGCTTACATATTTTGTGACCAATAAAAAAAACAAGAAACAATGTTGGTAATATTTACGTAAGTATATTTTAAATATAATAACAAAATTATAATACACATTGAAATGTAAACAATATTAAGTTTTACCTTTTTTTTGTTTGTGTTAAATTTCTAAGTTTTTTTACAAGGTTAAGTTAAAATAAGAAAATAATAATAGCGTACAAATTAATAGACTGACAAGAATAATGTATTTGGACCGAAAAATGGAGGCGTTAGTACTGATTTCAACATTAACGTATAGAAAACAAAATTCCTTTAAAATTACGTAATATGGGTAATGTAAACTGTCAGCCTTCCCGTAAACAACCACTTATTAGGACAGGTCACGTTCTCATCGACTTTTATTGGAAAAGCAATCAATATAAAAATGATTTTATATATTTTTTGAGTCGATATTATACTATGAAATATTATGTATTTCATAAATACAGTAAACAGTAGATGTTTTATACCAAGAATGAACACAGCCAAGCCACATAGTTCTCTGAGTTGATAATCAAACGCGAATTGAACGCAGTGTATACAGGCTTTATTTTAAGAATCTTTTGGGAGCCCTATGTTCAGCAGTGGAGTTTCTCCGGTGATGATTATTCAAATTCTACTTGTTCTTAGAAAGCGTTCTCTGCTTCTCAGCGTGTTGCACGAGTTGTTTATCAGTGGCGAGGCCCTTGCGCGCGCGCACCGAGTCCATGTATGCTTTAGCGCGGTTCACTCCGTCCCATTTCTCTCCCCAGTGAAGAAGTTCTTCCTCGGTACGAGGCCTCCAGAATGGATCGATATCTATTACCTGGAAATTGAGTGTAAAATAAGTATAAAAATTTGTTGTCTTCCAATTGGCTTAAAGCGCATGATATTGCATTTCTTCATATATTGTAAGTGGGTAAGGTCACTAGTTTTCACACCACCAAAAAAGCCCCGTTGAATTTTAGCTCTCTAAAAAAGGGATAGGATTAAGTAGATATATCATTAAAGTAGGTAAGTAATGAACACAGTTAACTGTCGTTGTACGTAAATACTGCTATGGGTACCTAATGTATACAAAGAGCTGCTAATTTCATGGGACTATTCCCTATTTCTGTATTCCATCCACGATAAAGTACTTAGTGTGACTCCATTCGCAACTGAGAAAGGCATGGCAAAAGGTTTAGTTTTATGTCTTACCTCCCAATGGCTGAACATGAGTTGGGGGGCGGCCAATCCGGACGTGTGTGTACGCAGTTCCAAAGCGAACTTGAAGCTCTCTGCTACGGGGAGGAGCGCTCGGACTCTGAATGATGCCGAGCCGCTCTGCAGATCGCTCGCTACGACGCGGCCACCGCGTCGGCCCAGTGAAGCGTATAGTTTACCTGCGAAGAAGAAATAAATATAATTAGTTCCATTATCAATGTACTCAAGTGTATCTATTATGGTGACGTATCTCTTATCAATATACAATTTAGTTTTATTTTCATTACACTAAGCGACGGGAAGAACAAGCCGTGTGCCTGGTGATAAGCGACACGCCCGTCCATAACCTTTGCAGTTGCAGTGCTTTAAATCACAAAGATCTGAGGGGCACTGCCACTGCGCCCGACACCTTGAGACATAAGTTGACAAGCCCCATGTGCCTGTAATTTCACCAGCACCCTTGCTTTTCGATACCGGAACGCAGTAATGTTCACATTGCTGCTTAGCGGCAGAAATAGGTAAGGTGGCACTACTTCACTGGACGAACTTTTTCGCAAGGAGCTCTACTGCTACTACTACTACTAAATATCAAAGTAGTTTTTCAAAAACTAGGCTCACATTTCCCAATTTAAATGACAATTGGATAGATTGGTTGGACTTTTCCGCAAGTAGTAATGTTTGTACAAGATATTAAAATGTACAATCCACTAATGCGTCATTTTATAAAGAAATGTGACTGTCTTAAAAATTAAGTAGGTAGCAAAGTAAAATAAGAAACATTTCTTGACGTGATTTCGAGGTATGAAATTAAATAGTTTTAGTAAAGGTTGAACAAAGGCTCACTCGCAAAAGGTGATTGGCTATTGCATGACGAGTTGAGTCAGGAAGCGAGGCAAAAACTCAGAGGGGCCAAAAAAGTTTGCCTCGTGATATCACTGGATCGCTTGACAAAATATTCAGAGATCAGTCGCGTAGAAAAATTCCTTGCTTTTTACAGATTCGATGCGGCCATTTTGAGATGAAAGTGGAGGCTTCCGGCCACGGGCGTGCATCCGGTTCCATTGGTCACGTCTTGACACATTCTATAGAGCCATGCAAGATTAGTTCTGAACGTCACTGGTGGCACAAAGGCAGGCGAGACGCAAGGTTGCGGGACGCGCGGTACTAACTCTATATGGAACGTAAATTAGTTCCACTTTTTGTCGCGCTTAAACTTAGTTTTGTACGCTCATGTTTGCTTAGTAAATAAAGAAGTTTTTTTATGAGTAAGCCTACTGTATACTTAGTTCCAAGCTCAACACGGCAAGAATGTTAACGAAAAAAGATATCATTTGTAACGGGAAACGCACGTAATCGGTAGAAAAACTCGACTGGAATTTAAGCACATATTTGTGGCTTGCGCCGTGTGGTCATCAGTAAAAAGAAACAAAACGAAGAAGACATTTCAAATCTAATTATACCTGTGCTGTAGCTCATATAATAGAAAAATTATTTTGTGGTTTTCAAAGGTACATAAGTATAACTATACACTCAGCATGACTTTTATGTTAGGATTTTATATTATTTGTAACAATACCTCAACCTATTTTAGTTTCATCATAACATTTTACACAATGTTGGAGATTATGTGTGATGTTTATGTTTTAAATCTCGTATTATGGCGATCTTGGCATTTCTTTAAATTCCCGAGGAGTTAATGTTGGTATGACGTAAACGACGGCAGTATGCGATTCTAAGCGGTGAGCCTATTTCCTGTGATAGATCTTATAATTGCGCTTACAGCAAGCTCGGCCAAGCCTCTCACTGATCAACATAAATAAGAAAACGTTTACAAACATGAGCAATTTTTACGTCGTTCGATAAGAGCATCAACCCGCCATGAATATTTGTTACACTTCCAAAAAATTACGATAATAATATTCATATAGCACCCCTCATGGAAGAATGGCATAAGTGGAGTTACGTTAAACACGTTTATTGCTCCACTAGATTCAGAAAAGTATAACCCACATCATCTCCCCAATTGTTAAAACTGTAGCGACTAATATTGTAGATAGAGTTACAAGAATGGGAGATGATGTGGGTTATATTTTTGTCTATCTAATGGAGCAATAAACATCTTTGACGTAACTCCACTTATGCTATTCTTCCATAAGGGATGCGTGCTTTTAGTAGCAGGAGAGCTCTTTGTGAAAGAGTTCATCCAAGGAAATATTGCCACCTTACCTATTTCGGCCGCCAAGCAGCAATGCTCACGTTACTGCGTTCCGGTTTTGGACGGTAAGGGTCCTGGAGAAATTACAGGCACATGGAACTTGCCAACTTATGCCTCGGGATGACGGGCGCAGTGGCAGTGGCCCTCAAATCGTTTTTTTAAGCTCTAAATTTTAAGCTCTCTCTCACGGCAACTGTTATAGACAGGCGTGGCGTTTAGCACTAGATGCACAAGTTGTTCATTCCGTCATTTACTACCGTAAACAAAACAATACTTTCGAACATTATAGGACTGAATATTATAATTTTCTACGAAACTCGTTTTTTTCGAAATTTCACATTATATATTAATTCATGCGACTGAATCTAATAACTTGGCCTGAGACCACTGAAGTGTCTTTGTGTCCTTAAATAACAGCAAACTCTTTCAAGGGGTTGATAAAATAACGTTAAATTAAGAAATGAAATAAAATACTATAATAACTAAGTTAGCACCTACAAAAAGTTGATATTAACAAAAAACAAACTAATAACAAATCAAAAAGTCTCAATGTCTCAGCTAGAGAGTATTTTGGAGTATAATAAGTAATGATCATAATAACGGTAATTTGTTTTACGTCTGTAAAATAAACTTGAATCGATAATGACGTGCAGCAATTAAAACCTTTATTATTAGTATTACTACACTAATGTCAACATTGGTTCATTAATTGGTTCTATTAAATAACAATTACGCCTCGAGTATGAATGGACGGGGTTTGAGAAAGTATTTTTATAAGAGGTCATCTATAAATAACACGTTTTTATAAGAGGTCTATAAACAAAAACGTAAGAATTTGTTTTGTTCGTGACGAAATATTATAGGCTTTTTTGATGAAAGCTTATAACAGTATGTAATGAAAATAAAATAAAGTATGTAAGGTCATGTTTCGTGTTTAATAATACAGGCTCATTTCGAATCGATTTGTGGCATTGTAGGTAAGTTCGTTACATTTCCCAGCTTATTTAATATTTTTTTCTCAGTAAGAAGTTGGTAGATTGATGGCACAAATTTATAGAGCGAATGTGGATGGAGGCGTGGCGAGAGGTAGACTTCGGCGTACATATCTTAATCAGATTGGGGAAGTCGTTAAAAAAGGATTAAAAGTATCAAGAATAAACGAGAATGTATGAAGAGACTGATAGGAGTGGAGGAGGCGAAGGAGGTTTGTCAGGAGCGTAGCAGGAAGATCAATGGTCTCTGCCTACCCCAGTGGGAGACTGGCGTGATGATATGTATGTAAAAAGTGGATTCAAACACTTGTGGAGCTGGTGTACCACCAACGCGATGGAGTTGGATACAAAAATAAAAATAGAGAAAGAGAGAAAGATAGAGACAGAAGAAGAAAAAGTGAGAAATAGTTTATTTGAAATAAATGCAGTTACAGTGGTGAGTCATACGTTATAGCTTATGTAATAATAATAAAACTTACAAACATATTAATCATAACGACAAACCGTTAATATTTGTATTCAAAACAAGATTGTTATTATTATAGGTTAACATTAAGTGCCTATACGTATAATAATTAGGTAGTACTATGTAGGCAGTTAAAAATTTATTCACTTTGATATAATAAACGTGTTAAGTTATTAGGTGAACAGATGCATAATCTGCAACTTGCTCGAGTTACGCTAAGTTATAAAGTCTTAAGAACTTAAGCACCAACATATATATAAGTTAATAACCGATGCCACAACCCGTAAGTTAAGGTGCTATCACACTGCAAACATTTTCCAAGGATGCACCCACTGTCGAGCAAAAAAGTACATCCCCTTTCTTCTTCCATCGTCTCCGCTTATCTTTCTCAATTTTTTGAATAAATCCGTCTAATCCATCTCACCAGATTTGGTAATATTTTAGATTGTCAGGAAACCGAAAAAAAAATACATTGTTTTGAAATTCAGACTTACTTAACAATAAGTAAGATTTTGAGAAACGATCGTGAATTTTGGATAAAAAGAAAATTAAATTTAGAACTTTAACTTGTATCCTCACATGTCACCACTCATCAGCATTACGTTCATATTAAACGTTTGTTTAATGTGGGGTACTATTAGTAAGCTCATAATTAATATGGCTGCGGTGTCGAAGGCGCTCCCTATGATAGAGTGTGGTTTACGATATAGCGTTTTTAAACGAAACTAACGTTAATGAATCTGTTTGATACATGCGTGTGACTTCAAGAACATTCGTAACACCGATGTGAAATAATTTTCTAGTAACAAAAACAAAACAATTTTAAACTGTTTAAAACGGCAATGTGTAAGCACCTTAGAGCTGTGCTGGCGCACGGCGGCCCATATCCCAGTCCGTTAACGGGCCTCTCAGGACATCCGGCAACTCTCGGTTGCATTCTGTGGATAACTGGACTGCTACATTGATAATACAGACACTACTAATCGCTAGTCGAGACCGTTGGTTCAGCGGCTAAGGTCATTTATATACTAAGCGATCCCTGTACCTCACACGGTGGGGTCGGGCTTGGCCTGCGGCGCGTGGTTGGGTTCAGTTTACGGAGTGTGCTCATGCTCTTCGGTGGCACAGCAGTTAGTACTATAATGGCCTGATGAGGAGGTCAACTCCCGATTTGGGCCAATTTAAGAAACGAACATTTCTAAGTTGGTTTCGGTCTGAGTATTCTGGGTTATGCTTCGGGCTTCGCTCTCCGCGGATCTCGGCCTGCGGATTATAACTTTGTTTTAAAAAAATTAAAATAGCTCTTTAATGGCGGTCATATTTAAAAATTGCAAAAATATATTCTGACCACGAATTTTTATCAAACAATCTTAGAAAGCTTTTCGTGTCAATTTTCAGTCCGAGCAAAGTAAGTTTTTTCAACAGCCATTTACATAAAAAATTAAGGCTCTAACGAAAAACGGTGAAAACAAAATGTTTACGCCAAATTATGATTGAGGCCATGCC